GATTTCGCAAATGTGAAGAGTAGGAGAACAGTATGATTCAGCCCAGCACTTGAGTTCTCCCATTGGACTCAAGGGTTGTATTATTATGCTCACAGGCTAACTCATGTTTCAGCAGTTCTGGTCTCAGCCATCCCTGGAGTTCCGCAAAGAGCCAGGAACAAGGTCCTGCTCACTTGATGCTTCAATTCTTCACCTGAACTACTTGGGTACGATATGACATTGATACTTTTTGTTCTGCCACAAGAAAGAAGGGAAGATCATATCTAATTAAAATTCAATGTCTAGAACTAATTAGAAGTTCACACTCATGTTATGTGTTAGAAGCTTTTTCTGTTTTCCTTTTAAACAACTTGAAGTTGACCACAAATGTCCAGGCTATATTCTAGTCAGATATATGGACCCTCACAAAACTTGAAACTCATTGAAGTATAACATGATAAAGTTTAATTTAGGGTTTGCAGGCAAGATTTTTGTTAACTATGTCAAGATTATTTCCTGTATTGGAAATAGCATGGTTAAGCAGTATTTGAGAGCATCTCTAACTTTTTTAGACTGATCTTAATGATATAGAATAATTGTGCTGCAACTGAAATCAAGATTTTCAGATTACTTGGCCTTGTTTGGCAACTGCAGCTTCACAATTATTCTTTCTTTTATTCAATGGAGCTGCAAATATTCACATTTTAAAACATACTGACCATGATTAATTGTAGAAACTGCCTGTTTGCCTGAAGTTAAGCACATGCATAAACACTGCCTAGTCAAGCCTAATTTATTTAATGAGAATATTCCAGAAAATTGTAGTTTCTCACTGGCTCTTTAGAAATTAGAATCTGAATTCATGAAATCATTAGTATATTACAGATTACTAGTCTAATTCTTAATGTAAACTGACCATTAGATTTCCTAACTGATGTTTTTCTGTTCGTAAAATCCATCCATTGCTAATTCTCTTTGTTAGTTTATAGTTCCTGGAAGTGTAAAAAATTTAGTGCTCCAGCTGGTTGGGCTTTTCATGAATTTATGTGCAGTTTTTAGACCACATCCTTACCGTTGTGTATAAGAAAACCTAAAGGAAAACCATTGCCTTGAGCAATCAAATCAGTTCACTCATTAGTTTGCCTATCTTCATGTGCATTGTAAGTCTTCACATGCTTCACCAACTCTAAAAATACTACCAGGGCATCACAAAAGTCTGATGGAAGCAGGAGATTGTTCATTTGGAAAGTGAAAAGTGTATGTGATCAGTTTTATACTTTGAATTCGTGATGATACTTGAAATAAACTGTATCTTGAGACCATCCTCTGCTCTCTCTACGTTTCAAGTGGAAACTTGTTTTCATTTGTGTTCATTTCAAAAACGTGCATATATATGTATTCTGATACATGTATCACTAATATACACATATCCATTTCAATACATCCAGCCCTATGAATTGCCTTTTTCCTGTTACATTCCTCTCTGTTAGCCGTCTCTAAATGTCTCTGTGGTTTTGTATTAATATACTTTTCCTTCAAGCAGTTCAGATATCCAACATATCATATGTATGTCAGACCCTGCAGAGAACGAAAACCTTTGGAATTGTTTGTTATGAAGTACAGTAGTTGAAATATTTTAAGAGTCTCGTTTGTGGTTAAATACATAACCACTACTTAGGTGTTTAGGGAGATGGAGAAAGACAACTGGTGAACTGATAGTTAGAAAAAGACAGGACTTTAGGGGCACAGATGTGCCCAAGTTCTGCTGTAAAGAAGACTAAAAAGACATTATTTCTCTGTTGCTACATGTTAATACAGCTTTGGGCATTAGTGGAGGAGGAAGAAGCAGGGATAAAAAGAATATTTCAAACCAAAACCATGCAATCTCTTCACCGGGCTCTGGGAAGCCATACAGGAAGTACCAAACCGAAGAATCTCAGCTGGGCTATAAACTAACAAGTACGCAGATTTTTCCTAAAGTCTACACCTTAACAACAACCACAGTCAGCTCACGAAGATGCCAGTTCCACTTACATGAGATTCTCTTAGCCTGGTCCTGTAACTACTATATTCACCTTTTTAAGTATTGCATTGTTTCCTACTTGAATTTTAACTCTGGTGTTGTCAGATGCGTGCAGGACATGATGACATTATCCTTTTTTGTATGCCATACACATTGGAAAAGTCAGTTCAGCGTGGCCAAAACACCCAAAAGAAAAAAGAGGCAGAGAATGCACAGATAAGGACCGTATTAAATAAGATAGGAATTATTTTGTTTAGCATCACATAACACTCTACAGTAAGGGTAAGACTGTGTTACTACAGAAAAGCAGTATTTACACTGAAAAAAATTATTACCTCCAACAGTACAAGTAGTTTCCAAACGAAGTTGTAAATTTAGTAGGATAATATTAGTTCAAAGTGTTGCAAGCATCTTTAGCTGTTATAAAATAGTTCTATACCCCCGTGATTCCATTCTATAAGGTTATCACTGATCTTCTCTGTGTTTTTGTGACATTGAAATTCTGCCAATCATATGTATCATTTATGGTTTTGGTTACTTGCACATGCCTGCTCCACTTTGCACGTCTCTGCTATACTCTACATTCTTTACTTTGTCTCTATGAAAGTCTGTAGAAGTCTCTGGGGACTATGCAAGTACAAGGGTAAGAGAGAATTTGACCTCATATTTCCTGAGCACCTCTAAAGAATCTCCTGTTCAAAGCAGCTGGAAAGAATTGTGAATGAACCGATATTATGGGTAGGGCAACAGATGCAACCTGCAACCGAAATTTCAAGCACTGGAAAAACAAATCCTTTCTCTTTACTGAAACACAACATTTCTTTTCTGGAAGAAGTAACAGACACCCTCTTCTGCAGAAGCCAAGATCTCTAAAGAGTTTATGTGGCCTGCTAGCCACTGAGATGCGAACTGCCAACAGAAACATTGTGCGCTTATACCAATAACAAACAATGAGTTGCTGGAGGCAACAGCTATTACCATCACTTGAATAAAAGAAATTCTGGCAACTAACCGTGTATTAAAATAGATTCTGAAATAAGCAAATGCCTTCTTTTCAACACCTACTCAAATATCTTATTTTAGATTGTGCCAAAACTGAAGGGTAGCTGATATTCACATTAATTCTGACTGACAATTTTATGAGAAAATCTGGGAAGACCTCTCCCCCAAGATCATTCGTATGGAGAACATTCCAGATTAGCTTCACTGGCTGCCAGATGTCACTCCTATTCCACTGCTAAATATCTCCCAGCACACATTTCAGGCTTTAGTGGCCTTCAGTGTGTTACACCCTGTAAAGTGACCATGGCAACTTCTAACTCAGTATGCAAGGTATGTTCATTGTTAGACAGAGTTAAACACAGTTTTGTCATTGCTACCAGCAGAACCAAGACTGTTGTCTAAAAGTGAATTACAGTGTCATTAGTGCTTGTGGTGATGCTCAGGACGTATTCTGTCCTGTTATAAAATCAGAGAATGTCATCAGAAAATGAAGTACAGAAGGACAGCAGTGTGGCTTTTTGGTCCATCAGCGTTATCATCTACAGAGGGAAAAATATTTCTTACTTATGTGCTGTTTCAATTTGTTATGGGTATTACTGAGAGGGACAGAACAAATGCTCAGAACAACTTTATAAAATAAAGAGAGAAGTTAGAATTGTTCTGCGACTGTATGATGGCACAGCCTTGAATGATTATTTCCATAATGTGTTTACTAACATGATGGATTTTAAACGTGCTGAGCAGTTTCCATTGACTGCTGATCTCAGATTGTCAGTGTTTTTCGTGTGCTTCTTCCATAAGTCCTGCTTCATGCTGCTAACATGTTTCATAACTTTCCTTCATTGTCTGTCTCCATCCTAGTTTGAGCCTTGGGATGTCTTTCTTCATAATTACTCTCTTTAGTTTGTGCCTGGCTTTGCTTTCTTCAAGGGCAGGTTCCCTGTGCCTTCCTTGTCCTGAATGTTTAATTTACTTCCCCAGAAATCAGTTTCAATAACGTCATGCAGGAAAGGAAGCTATTCTTCAGGATTAGAAAAAGTGGCAGTATCTGGCTCTCACGCTTTCATTTTGGAAGTGGGAGTATGTCCAGGTCAGTATAGTGTTTTGTGTAAAGTAAATGGGAAGACTATTTTCTTATATTTTATATAAGAAAATATATTTCTTATATATTTTATAATTTATAAATAAGACTATTTCTTATATTTTATTCTGAATATATTCTGACTTTTTTACATACTCATTTCTGCATAGCTCTGAAGTACCTTCTATTAGAGTACAAGAGGGAAGACCTACTATTTTAAGCAGTTTTCTGTGTATGGCTGACAGAATTAAGGATTGTATTCAGCACAGCTCAAATAGCAAAAATCTGGTTTTAAGGTGATGAACACAGAAATTCAGTCATAAACAATTCTATTGATGCGGAATTTACATAGCTAGTGCAGAGAAGGGCTGGCTCAGTGGTAGATGTTCACTCAGAGGCTGGAAAGGATCTCTTGCCTCTCCCGTTGCATCTCTCAAGGCCTTAGCACTCCCTACCTCCACAAGGAAAAGTCAGTCAGGAACATCACATCTGGATCTTATGGAAGAAATTCCTGCTCAGCAATTCACTTGATGGACTTTGTTAACATACTCATTTTTTTGTTAAACACACACACACAAAAAAAAACCAACCAGCTAACTAAACCCATTCAGTCTTGAAATATATTGGCCAGGCTCCTGCACACCAAAAACTTTCAATTTAGGACACAAAACTTTTCCTATGATATTGCAGGACTCCCCTAGACTTGAAGCCCAAGAGCTTTTGACAAGAACTGAAAATGCAGATAAACAGTAAATCTTCTGAGCCTCATCCTGAAGCTACAAGAAGGGTGACGGTGATCAGAAAAGCAGAATTCCCTTTCATTTACTGCTTCTTCACTCCATCTGTCATTACAGAAAGAAAAACTAAGGTGACTTTATTCTATGCTTAAGGTTTTCTCTCCTGACCCCTTCACAGATGGGAGATTGGTAAATGGAGCACCTGCAGTCTTACCTGTGGGGTTGGGTTGCAGACACGAGATGTCTTCTGTTCTCATCTACTATCAAGAGAGACTAACGAGACCGTGATTTTGGCAGATGAATTGTGCTATAAGCCTAAGCCATCCCTCGTGCAGGCCTGTAATCGCTTTGACTGCCCACCCTCCTGGTATCCTACAGAATGGAAAGAGGTAAGAATGTATGTGTAATCTCATTTTATGGCTGGTAAAAGTAGTCATTATTTGCATTATCAAGGCATCATTTTGCTTTAGCCTATTAAGTGGATTCATTAATCATTCTGATGAGTCATTGAAAAATGAAAAAGTGGGTCTTTTTAAAAAATGCATCAGCATTTTCAGAGGTAAATAGTAACTCTCCCTACTTCTAATACGAAGTTACTGGAAACTCTTAACAGCTGGCTATAGATTCCAGACAAAAATATCTGGAATATGTTGGTCAGCTGCAGTGAGTGGATTTAGGTTAGCAATGCCAAGGTTTCTAGGAATACAAAGCTATAAGGATCAAAGAGGAAAGAATCTCTAAAGTATGTTGAGTATTCTGTATATTCTCAAATAACACCTTAGTTTAGGACAAGAAGCACTGCTCATCCTTCAGAGTCATAATTGAGTGCTAGGCAGTTCCCTTTGGGAGATGGATGCCTTATTACACTAATGCTGAAAATTGCTGCCTATGCAATGGATCTGTACAAGGCTTTCTGTCTTTGGGAAGCAACGTGAAATTAGTTTATTTTCTGCCATCTAGTTGCAAATGAAATCACTTGTGCAATGCAAAAGATTTAAAGATGCTCCTGTTGGATATACTGCTGCACAGGACAAAAAGATCCTGCACTATTGTCGAGAGTAAAGGAAAAATGTGCTGTGTGGTGGAGGTGCAAGCAAAAGATATGTTTATGTCTTCACTTCTGCTGGGTGCAAGGATTCGTTCCATCCTATGAGAAAACTCTGAGCACTTGGCATGGTGCTTACACAGGCCTACCCAGTCTTAATCTGTGAAACCTGCTCTTTACTTAACAGCCAGAGAGATGTTAATGTGCTCACACAATGAAGTTGATAAGTCTGTGAAGCTGTACTTCATGGGAGAGCTCTGGGTTTGAGCAACCATCCCAGTAACAAAAACGTATACCAGTCTGATGTTCTGTCAAAGCTAGATAGCTAACTATATGGCATTAGTTCTATGTTTAAAACAATTCAGTGATATTTAATGCTTTAATCTGTCTCATGATATTTACCTACACATATTTGCTTAGTTGTACTTTAGAATATTTCTAGGCTATGGGCATACATAAATGCTATATTTGTAAGTAGCAAATAGTACTCTACTAGCACATAATGTAATAAAGTCAAGCATTTCAAAGTTAGGACATACTAGAAGGAGTGCCTATGCTCTTTAGCATCCTATAATTTGCCACAATCCTTACAAAACACAATTTTCTGTTTGAACAGTAAAAAGGGACATAGGTTACAGCATGTTGAAAAATTGACTTTCTGCTTGCAACGACCATTAGCTATAGGCCACCTTAGAAATAGTTTCCACTAGAGCAATTTCCAAACAAATTTTTTTCAAGATCTTCCTCAACAGTGTAAACACGTGTATTTCCAGCTGCCTAAAGTAATGTTTTAGCCATTTTTGTATCTGCTTAGGGGCTCTCAAAAGTGCTGTCTTTTTGAAAGGTGTAGCAGGTCTTAGGGAGGAGGGAGATCAATTAAGTATAAAGGCTTTAACAAGTATATTAATCCCAAATGAAATCAAACTGCTCAGTTCACACCTTTTGTGTTAGCTCCTGCCTTCTCTGGGCTGGGTGGAGACAGAGAACCTGTGCTGCAATTCATTGCTGCAGCTTAATGAAGGTCACGTTATAGCTCTTTGATGATTACTTTCACAGGCTTTGCAGGCTGGCCAGCTGTGTACGTAGCTCCTCACTACATGGATACTGAATATTTCCTGTGCTTACCTTTCACCAGGAGGAAACAGCACAAAAAATGTACTTCTCTGCCTACTGTCTTCTGCCTCTGTTTAGATGAGCATAATGCAAGAAAAAATTGCCTCATCCATCACAATGAATTTCCATTATCCCGTTTTTTAAAGACATCTGTCTTCCTTCTTTGCACCACCAACCTCTGTACAGTTGTTTCCGCCCTGCAGGAAAGCCAGGCCTTCCAGTTCAGTCTCACTCAGGTTTCCCATGGATGACCTCCATGTGAAAGCCTGCACCATCAGGCCAGTGCGTTGCACTTAAAGATTATTGCAGCTGTTGGCTCCTGGAATGTGTAAGGGAAAAGCCCATTTGGACAGAACGTGAGTAGCCGAGACTTTTCCTGGAGGTGAGCTCCAAACATGCAGCAGAGCTGCCATGGAGCCCTCCAGCAGAAGAAATCCTGCAGGAAGATTTCTTTCCTTGCATTAAGGGACTCACAGCACCTCTCCTCTCCCCAGATCCCTGAGAGAGTATCCGACATATGGGGAGACAGAGGTCCCTGTAGGAAGATGCCTTCCTCACCCTGAGGAAGGTCCTTTAAAGCTTCACCAGCACTAGAGGGTAACATCTGTTCTCCACACAGCCTGGTTTGAAGCCATTTGTCTGGTCTCATCCATGGAGTTCATGGTGCTTTTCAGAGCACTCTCTCACAATACTTTCAAGCAAACAAACAAACAAAAGATTTAAACTGCAATGAGCAATGTTTTCTTTTCTAAGGCCTTTTATGCTTGTTAAGGAAGAGCTGTCCGAATTAAATGCTGTTAGAAACCCTAGCGTTTCTGCCAGATAAACACACAATAATTATCAATGTTGTAACATTCCAAGCAATTTTTTAAATATCTTATTATGGATTCAAGACTATTTATTTTTAAATAGCTCTGTTTCTTAGCTAAAACCATTAGAATGTTTATCTTGTTTTCAGTAGTGTGCATCTGGAGGAAAGTGGATATGAGTTTTCATTTTTACAAGGCCTTACAAATCTATACTCTGCAGACCTCAAATGGGTCTCCACTAGTAAATCTTCATCCTCCTTTGTTTCATAACTGAATAAGCACCATAGTCTCAATCCCAGCATTCTTTTCTAGCTGCTCGGTGCTATCCTTGCTCCAAAGATAATTAAAACAACAGCTTGACAACAGAGTCATCATGGGAAAATTGCTAACATTTTCAGATATTTTCCTAGCTATTTTTTCTCTCTATTGTAAAAGACCTTCCTAAATCTTCAAGTGTCAGGCCTTAGAAAGCAATCGAAAGATGCGCTGGGATAAAAATGTTTATTCCATTTGCAGATCAGGCAGCAATGGCATCAGGGGTGATGCCATTCTGGAGGTCAGTACCTTGGCAAAGTCCTAGATCCCCTGTAAAGGAATGTCAGGGGATATTGGGCCTGGCTCTGCTCAGAAGCTGTGGGGAGCAGGACTATCAGGAGACATAGTTCAAACAGCCACGCTTTACCTGCCTGGATGGGTGAGGTGAAACCTAACCTGTGATACAAGCACCGTTCTCCATGGTAATGGTGCTGTGAGATCTTTCTGAACAGCAGAGAGAGATAGTACATTATTCAGATGGAATGCTTCTGAATGAGGATCCCCTAAAAACTACTGTTTCATATTGCCTGTAAGTACAAAAAGATGTTGCTGTCATCGATTACCCCTTTTCCCAAGAAAAATGTGAAGGCTGGCAGCTTCCACTAGAGAAAAATCAGCAAAGACCTCAGGGTAGTGAAGGGAAAGCTCCAGAGGTGAAATACATGTACAGGCACAGCTCCAGTGCAGTAATCCAAGACTGTCCTAGAAGACCATTTGTGCAGACTAGGACGAGTGTCATTACTGCATTTGACTCTCTCTGGCACTTAGCAATAGAGTTTGGTGTTGAGTACCATGTTACTCTTCACAGCACAAAGCTATGTAAGTGACTGAAGGGCAAAAAGCAAGAAAAGATCTGGTTTGTCTCATTCTTTTATCTGGTAGTGATGGAAAAGCAGAGAGACTTCCTGGGATTTGATTGATTGACAGAAGGAACATGCTTTTGTTGTACTTATACGATGCCTAACCCATTTTGGCTCTGGTATAAGATGACAGTCCTTAGGCAACCTTGAAATAATACGTTTAATCTTATTTATCTTGATTTGCTCTCTCCTCAGGAATGAATTGTCCTCAAATGAAAGGTTGACAAATGTTTTCTTTTGTTGAAAACTACAGTATTGTTTTACTTGCTTAATTTTTTGGAAGCCTTTGAGCTTTGTAGCGTCCTAAGTAAGACAAAAGCTATTTTTACTCATTAAAGAGCAAACCGTACTGAATGTAAATATGTCTTTCTGCACTTCTGTCTTTCAAGGAAAATGTGTATCCTAAATAATCAGGCTAGCATTAAAGTTTATGCAGCTCTCTCCATCTGAGAGAGAAGGGCCTTCTACGACTGCAAGACTTTCTAAACCAGTCCCTTCTAAACCAGACCTTCTAAACCAAACTCCCTAACTGTTTGAGTATAAGTTTTAACACTTCTTCATAAGATTTTCTGCTTCTCAGGCATAATTCCCATGTCACAAGCTATAAGCAACTCCTGGTCACATCAGCGTAGTGCAAGCTCCCTTTTCTTGTTGCTAGGAAGAGAGAGAAAAGAAGTTGAACTGGCTGGACTCAGCAGAAGAACTGGGAGGCTCTTAACAGCCTCAAGAAAAAGATCCTCAGGAAAAAAGGCTGAGAAACCAAGTTCAAAAAAGACATTCAGGAAAGCTATTAAATCTGCTTGTTCAAAATTTCCTGCCCTGCTTGGGTAGAAAATGGATACAGAGAGGGATATTTACTTTAAAGAGACAGGGGAGGTGGGTTCTCTAGATATTACTCTTCCTAATTTACTTTGATTCAAATAAACCTTCCTCCTCACCTTTTGGAAAGAGTACATACTGCTGTCATAGCAGCCATATATATAAAAGGGCTGCGTGGATATTTAATGGTTTATTATATTAACGGTATAAAACAATTCCTGAGACTAACTGCAGATTGCAGCTGATATACAGCTTTTGCAAGAATTAAAAATCAGAGAAATGCCATAATGCAGGAAGCCTTCAAGGACAGGAATTCTGGGCTGGACAGTCAAGTTTTGAGTTGCACTAGCAATAGACCTCATGCAGGTCAGAAATGAGAAATGAGAAAATTACAAAAGGAAGAAAAAACCAAGTGATAAACCAAGGAAATTTTTATTTATCATACTCTCAAATTTCCATTTGTTTTTCTTGCTAATACAAACCTTTTTTTAACAAGCTAAATTTGAATATTTAGTTCAATCTAACTATTTAGTTCATAGGTACTGCTATCTAATATGTATATTCAAATCCTGGAAATGAAAGTCTTGAATAATCTATTGCTGGAGAAGACTTTTCCACTCTCTCTGGAGCTGTCAGTAGCACAGTCAGAACTCAGGCAAAGACATTAGGATGTAGATCCTCCACATTATGTGCAAGTGTCTCATTTTCCAGTTGGTGATTACAGGAAAGGATAATTTTTCCGCCTCCATTCTGCAATTCTGACCTGTTGTTTCCATGTTTTTTGTACAAACACCCAAAACCCGAACATTTCAGAAATACTAAAGCAGTTTTTAATATTAGAAAAGTAAGCTGCTTCCACTTTCCAAAATATTTTTGACATTTTTAAAACAAGTCTGCTCTGACATCTCTGAAAATTTTTTTATTTTTCCTATTTGGCCAAAACCAAGTGTCGATTTCTGCCCAAATTCCCAAGTAATTTTTGCTGCAAGCTGCCGTGGTGCAAGTGTGATGTAAGGTGGCTGACTCTCATCTCCCACAGTGTTCGCAGACATGCGGTGGTGGTGTCCAGAAGCGAGACGTGCTTTGTAAGCAGCGCCTGGCAGATGGAAGCTTGTTAGAGCTGCCCGAAACCTTCTGCTCCACACCAAGGCCAGTTACCCAACAAGCCTGCAAAAATGAGGATTGTCCCAATGAGTGGCTTCTCTCTGACTGGACACAGGTGTGTTATTTGTATGCGTGAGTACTGTGTTGATCTTGCTAATGAAGTTCCTTGGTCACTGGGGATAAAGGAGCCAAATGAGCCCAGACAAAGTGTTATGCCCAGTTTTGTCATGTAATCTGTCCTTATCACCCTGGTAGGGAACGTAATCACTAGCTCAATGTTGCGCTTTGGAAATCGCCTTCACAGATGTGGTTTAGCCAAACCATTAAGAACTCCCTTCTGGCGTAAACACAAGCCATGCTCAAAACAATAAATCCCTGCCTCCGTCCACGTCTGTGCTTATCTTCATCCAAGGCATCAATGAAGGGTAATCTTCACTCCCCCAAGCTAACTGCTTTTTCTTCCCAAACCCTGGCTGTTTTGATGTCAACAGTCTTTTCTTCTTGTGGCCACTCCAACCTTTCCGTAAGATGCAGAGAAGAGAAGGGAGGGATTCCTGCAATCTGCTTGCACACCATTACAGACACCAAGCCTCTTTAATTCTAGGACACTGCTCTTGCTGTGTTAGCTAGCTACTTCCTTCCTTCAATTTAGGGATGGCAAAACAAACTCAGTCTACTGAAGTGTCTTGCACTTCCCCAGGCTCCCTTTCTGACCCTGTATGGCTTAAGAAAAATTCTCTTTATATTTCTAACAGTATAACTGAGAATATAATTTGACCTTTTAATGCAAGTAAGCATGAAAATCATTCCACATCTTGCAATTTCTGCCACCATTCTCCCAATTCTCTTCTATGGAAAGAGATGGAAATTGCCTTAATTGTGAAAGAAACACCAGTCACCTCACAGAGCTGGCCCACCTGCCCCTTTCATGTGTCGATCTATTTTGACATTTTACTCAAATAAGTGGACGTTCTCATGACGTTTGCTGCCAGGAGATGTATAGCCATTCTAGCAGTGAAGATGGTAATTCTGTTCCCATCTGTCCTCCCTCACAAGAAGTTGCTACACGGTTTATGTCAACATCCATACAACTCACATTCCTGCACATTGGCACTTAACGAAATCAAATCTGACTTCACTCTCTCCAACCCCTTTCGCTTGAATGTTGCCTTGTTTTGGCTCTTCTTACCCTTAGTGTGTTTTCTCCCGCTCACTTCATCTTCAATTCCCATTACCACATGTGTGCACTTACAGGTAACAGAAGTTACCTTTCCAGCACCTTTACAGACTGCTGCCTGGGTCCCAGTGCAATGGCAGTGCCTGTATTCTCACTTCCTGTGACACTGTATACATAAATATGAAATAAAATAGGCATGCTGAATTCCATCGGACAATGCCCACCTGTGTATTGAGCACCACAGTCTGGTATTAAAGGGTTTATACTCTCCTGTGTAAGCCATGTGTGATAACTACCAGGCTGAGATAACTCACTGGTATCTGAAACACTCATTCAATTATTATTTTTAATAGATCTGCAGCAGGAAATCTCAAAGATTAAAATTAGGCCAGATGTTAGAACAGGATGTATCTCTGAAGTGCAACTCAATGTGGTCTGCTCTTGACTATAGGCAGAAGTTTTCCCAATCAGCAGACACAGAGATACAGAAATGAAGTGCAAAGACAGGCTTTGTACTGTAGCACAGCACCGTTAAAACAAGGGACACCATCTGAGAGAAAAAAAGTGCTAAAAGGAGCATGGTAGGATTCAAAACCTCAAAGGACAGAAAATACCTGATATTTCATCTCCCTACTGTGCTTGCACTGCTTGTAACTGAATAGCCAGGTGCTGCTCTGCTTTATTCCACTGTGATATTCTGAATGCTGTTACTGATCTGTACCATGATACGAGTACGCAACGTGGATTTGGGCAGTGAGGGCGGGTGTGTGACAAGGACATCTCTTTTGGCTTTTAATAAATCTTGTTCCTAATGTTTCTGATTTGGTTCCCAGTGTTCAGTGAGCTGTGGAGAGGGCACCCAGAGTCGAAACGCCATTTGCAGAAAGATGCTGAAAACTGGGGGTTCTGTCATCATCAATTCCTCACTGTGCCCACCTTTGCCATTCTCATCCTTGATCAGGCCCTGTGCACTAGGCACCTGTGCAAGTAAGTGGAAAAGATGCTTGGGAGTGTCTGGGGGAAAGGAACTTGAAGGTCCATCACTAAGAAATCCATGCTGTCACCTGCTCCATAATCTTCTCTTGCCCCAGTGCTGTTACTCGGTCTTGCAGAGTGGCTGCTGCTGCTGCTGCTGAGTTTTTCTGTCTGTGCAGAGCTATGCTGTGTAGAGCAATAAGGCAAGTCAGTGGATGAGAGCTATAAATTTTACTGTTGGAGCTGGGTCTGAGCCAACATGCTGGAAAGGAGCTACTAGTTTCTGGAAGAACTGGCTCAAAATTCTAACCCGTATCTAGAATCTAAGTTTCACAGCTGGAATGTAGAGTCTGAGAGATACAGCACAGCAGCCTGAGGGCAGCTGCAAATAAACTCTCTGCTAGAACAGCTGCAAAGAAAATGGTTGGTTAGGGATTTTGAAGATCATTTAAAAACGTATTAGTTCATTATGTCGCACAGAACCCTCTATGACCTAGGATTTCTAATGAACCGTGCAACACAAACTAGATGTATTTTATGTCAATATTTCATGCATTTGTTGTTGCCCTTCACAAGAGCAGTAGTCTGCCTGTAGGCCCTTTCCTCGCTTGCAGTAAACCAACTGGATATGTGAAAGCTCAAAAGTCAGCCTAAAGCTGACTATGAGCTCTGAACCTGCTAAATGTTGTGTACGTCAGGGAGAAAAGAAGATCTGACGTTCAGAACCAAAGCTGAGGCCAAATGTTGCATGGTGTTTACTAATGATATACCTATGCTGCTTTATTTAGCGAAGATCTTTGTCATAGAGATCCGAAAACTGGAAGGACACACTGAACATCCACTTTAATGGTATTTACCATGTTTTTAAGACTAGTCCCAACAGTTTTATTCTATTCGGCTTTACTTCCTGAGGTAGCAGCACTTTCACTTTTCCTTACCACTGTGAGTTGCAAGATCATGTAGCCTTTGAGGGTTTGGATGGTAAAAACTTCCTGGGCGGGACCACTCTTGCATTCCGAAAGTGCACCTTGTTATTCCTCTTATTTTGATTGCCCAACTTAATCTTCAGCAGCTGGTGGCCAGTTTCTCTCATTGCTGTCTAATGTGTCGCATGCTGCCAGCACCAAAATGAACTGCTTGTTTTGTTTAAAGGTATCACATACTAATAATATTAATGATATTTCAGGGCACAACAGGCCAGCTCATAAGCAAAGCCCCCATATTATGGCCATAAAGAAAGTCTACATCCAGACAAGGAAGCAGAAGAAGCTACACTTTATTGTGGGTGGGTATGCCTACCTGCTGCCCAAAACCTCTGTTATTCTCCGATGCCCCACAAGGAGATTCCGGAAATCGATGATCACTTGGGAGAAGGATGACAAGAGGCTTGTCAGCTCAGCTCACATCACCATTGCACCCTATGGGTACATGAAAATCCATCGTTTGAAGCCTTTAGACACTGGGACGTACACCTGCACAGCAGGGCCAGCCCGAGAGCATTTTGTAATTAAACTAATTGGAAGTAACAAGAAGATCATTGCTGGGCAGCCAACTGGTATTAGGGACGAAGAGGCCATGAGAAAGTCCAGCTTAAATGAAGCCTTGCGAACACAGGAGAAACATGTCAATGGGATCCTCTTGAATGGGAGCAAGGCTGAAAAGCGAGGGCAACTTGCTGACCCTAGCAGTTGGTATGATGATATTGTCTCAAGGCTACTACAGCACAGGGGCTGGCCAGGGGAAAATCTGGAGTCCTGGGAAGCCCAGGAATCCACAGAGAGAAACGTATCCTCAGAGGAGGACCAGAGCCGGGAGTATAGCCTGCCATTTACTATGGTCACAGAGCAGAAACGTTTGGATGATATTATAAGGAACTTGTCTCAACAGCCTGAGGAGCTTAAAGATCTCTACACTGAGCAGCTTGTTGTGCAGCTGGCTCATGAGGTTTTCAAGAGCCACTTGGAGCACCAGGAATCTGTCCTCAAAGCATCAAGGCGGAGAGTAGATTCAGCCTCAGTGGAGTACCCTCTCCACAGACTTGTTTCTGGATTTACCAGCTCCCTGAGGACATCATCTGCTGAAGCATTTCTTCCCACCTCTGTAGACCTGGCAAATGGTTTGCGCAGACCTCATCAAAAGCCTGCCATCCTCCGAAAGATTTCAGCAGCACAACAGCTTTCTGCTTCAGAGGTTGTTACCCACCTGGGACAGACGGTGGTCCTAGCCAGTGGCACACTGAGCGTGCTGCTTCACTGCGAAGCAGTGGGAAACCCAAAGCCCACCATCAGCTGGGCTAAGAATGGAGAGGAGGTGAAATACAATGATAGGTAAAATATATTATTTTTTAATAAAATAATTGATATTTTGACTCTTCAATTTCCATGTTTTACTGCCCGTCAGTCTCAGGGATGAAACCATATTCTGCTGTGGTGTGATTTCGTAGCAGAAAGAAGGGCTAACGCGTGTGAAGTGGTAGACAGGGCACTGCAACTCTTCAGCAAGGTCTGGATGCTGGTTCCGTTGGGTGTGGCAGACAGGAGCTTTACTTCTGTTTCAGTACCTAGAAAGAAGAGTTTGTAAAGTGCTAAAGTAGGTGAGTGCCTGATACCGTCAACAGAGCACTCTGTATCTGGAGGCTGGGAGAGCCTTAGTGTATTTTCCCATCTGAATGTGGAGGTTTTTGCTGTGAAGATTGGTTTCATTACAAAAATTGATTATTACTATTACTATTATCCTCCATTGGACAAATGAACTGCATTTCTTACGGTGCTCCAGCAGGGTTTGTCCGACATGGTTGTGGTAGCAAAAGCTGGAGGAAGTGAGGCTTCTGCCTCCCATACATGTTTCTGTGTGTAAAAATGCCCTAGGAATAAACCTCAGGAGACATTACAGTCACCATTTCGTGTGTGTGTTCTGATAGGGGCTGGAAATTGTGGAACCATGCTTCATGGCTATTTGCAGCTATGCTGTCATCTCAACACACTGATCTCTAAGCATTAGTCTTCTCACGCGAGTTGGTGTATCCTCACCTGTTCAGACTCCAGCGTGCTGACTTCAGGTGTAGCCTGAGAACTTGAGTAACAAAATGATTTTATCAGTGTACCACAGACATGATGCTGTTTCGCCTTCAAGTAGCCTTTACCTGTCTGCCACTCCACGTTATTTGTTTGTATGCAAGAGCACACAAAAAGAGATTATTTTCGATGTCAGTTATATGCTTAACTGTGTTGATAGCATACGTTTTTCTCATGTGCATTTTTGAAATTTTATGTTTTGGTTCTGTTCTGTGAGCAAGTGGTACATAATGATAGGCAGAGAGTGTAAGTGGCAGTTATATTGACAAACATGGTACAACAAAGCAGTCACAGGATCTGCCAGCAGTTATTTCTGCACAAGATAGTGACCTCAATTAAGACATCTGAATTTACTCACAAGGTCTGCTTGGGAAATGAGAAAAGACAGAGTCAAGGCAAAAATTGACTTCTTAGTGTGGTGACTGTGGATCATCCAGTAAAGTCTTGAATTAGGTATGATTGCTCCTTCTGCATAGTTATACAATTAGTCCATTAGCTCCTTTCTCACTTTGGCAACTGAATTACTCTAAAATTTTTGTTTTCTCTAATGTACTGAATTTTCTGGGTTTTGTCTGTCTTTTTGTGTCTGAAAGCTAGTAAGTATATTAGATTTCACACAAAAAATGGTAACTTTTGGTTGGGAAGAGAACACTAGGAGCAAGAACGTATCTCTTGTGGAAATCTCAGGCCTATAGTATCCCTTTAATTGGCCATATTCCTGTGAAAATATCTTCATGGTGCCCCAAAAGTTTCATATATAGCTTTTCATTGCCAGTGGTTACATCCTGGTGGAATTGTGCCATTAAGGGATTTTTTTTTTTCCTCTACTTGGAATGACTATGATTTTTGTGGTATGCTTGAAAGGGAATAGAGGTTATACAAAGTCCATGTGAGGTTAATGCTGGACACTACACTCACGAGAAAATTACAAGTTTATCTCACGCTATATAACCAGCCATGGTGTAGCAACAGGCAGATTCATTTAGCTTACAATAATACGGTCCTATAGTTTCCAAAATTTTAGTTTGGATTTTATTTTAGTTTTTAATTTTACAATGCCTTTCAACCTTTATTTTTTCCCATTCAGTTTTTCTGAAATAGCACTAAATGCTGTCTCATATTTCTAAATTATCAGGCAATTATAAATGCTCAAAATTTCTACCAGAAAGACTCAGGGAAGTACAGTTTATTTGTCAGTTAGTAGCATTATTCATTGACAACTCTTCTTTAAAGGTTGAGTCAGTTTCTACTTTATGAACTTCCTTCTGTACTCATCACTTATGGTTCCTCCAGGTTGGTGGGTGGGGGAGGAAATGAACGCTGCTCTGGGCGTCAGAGATACACAGCTTCTGTAACTTTGAAGTTAATGGAAGTTTAAAAGTCGTGGTGCCGATGAAAATCGGGTTGTGGATGTTTTGCTGAGTTCTTAACAGCAGTGTTCTGGTTTTGGCTCAGAGTGCTGCTGCTGGCTGCCAGTCAGCTGTGTAAATGAAAGCTGTAGTTTAAGCAGTCTCACAGTGTACTGCTGTAAACTGCAAGGCCATCTGCATGCACTGGTGTTTGGTACGCTTGAGCTGTCTTTCGGCTCTGAGGCTTATCTTCTTCTTTCTTTGCCAGCCGCTGAATGGAGAAGATAAACCACTTTTCCAGCCCGCCTCTGTCCTAAAAGGAATAAGAAAATTAGTATAGATGGGCGTTCCTGTACCAGTGTCAAAGAGAGATGCTTTTGGTGCTTCAGCTCATGCCCTACTGAGTATACTGAGATTCCAGTTGTATCTGGTTTGTAAGGTGATTTTTAGAGTGTGTGCTGCTGGTCTTGGGTTGAGTGGCAGCCATCTGTATTGTGTATGGCCAAATACTGAGATAAAGGCACTCACTTTCAGGCATTGTGGCAGTGGATTTTGTCTGGAAGAGTGATGCAGCAAAAAACAACTCTGTTCCCATTTCCTACTTCTATGAGCCGTGACATCCACCTAAAAGTATTTATGACTCCTACTACGTAGCTCCACTTGCAGAAATTAGTTTCTTTAGCTTCAGTCTAGTTACTGTCACAAAAAGATATAATACAGTCGCCAAAAAAGTGTTGGTTTTCTGTTACTCACTAGAATGAAAGCATGTGGCACAAAAAGCTGTAGCAGTTGAAAATCTGTGTGGTTCCAGTGAAAGATCCTTCACTTGAGCTTGCCTATTCAGCCTGAGTGCATGTTTAACGTGAGTGTCCATACTCTCTCCTAAGGTTAAAATGTCAGGTTGACACCAGCATGGGTTCTGAGTGTAGTTGCAGAGCCTCCTAGTATCTATACCAAAGTCTGGAGATTTCTGTAAATGAGGTAAAATGTTTTATTTCAAAGAAAATTCATACCAACTTTCTTAGGAATCAATTTTAAAAGTGAAAAATCTTTGAGGAATTGATGCATTGTTTAGTAAGCCTTCCCAGTATGCTGTCATTTCCATCACTGGGAACCGGTTGGTACTTGATAATTCAACTTTTCTAAAGCAGAAATTTATTTTATAAATGGATGTGAAGGAGAATGTAAACAGTAGGTGATACTGAGTTAGGTGTTTGTGAGGTGCCATCTGAATTAGTCACTGATATAGGTCCTGTAAAATCAGTTTGTGTCTCTGAGACAATGCAGTGTGGAGCAACTGAGATGAGACTGATTAAACATTGAGCTGTACTATTTTAAGTCTGTAAATGAGATTCTGAAGACATACTGCTGACAGAAAGAATTGCTAGAGCTGGTATTTTTTTCACCACTGACTAGCAACTCAATACCCAACAAAAATAGCAATCTACGAGCAAATAGGGAATCCAGCCAAAATCATTCTATACTGAGGGATAATAAAAGATCTGCTTTCAAGAAAAACAGCTACGCCAAATTGTGACACGCAAATAACAGACAGAACTACTGAAAAGAAGAGGACGTTAGCTTTGTTTCTAGAGGAGGACATTAAAACTTGGGTGGAAAAAATAGGATGATGGAGCTGCATTGAATCTTATTTCTTTTGAAAGCAGGTACCTACTTGGCCTATTTCTGTTTCTAAAAATATTTGTGCTGGATCTTGACGTGACTTTAAAAGGCAAAGAGAGATTTACAACAGCAGAGTTGATTAACAACAAACAAATTATGATCCTTTCTGTTCTACAAGGTGTAATATTAAACAAGCTCTTTCCTCCATCTGAAGGTGACAGAAACATTTCTTAAAACTTTTTTTAAGGGGTTGTAGGTGTTAGTTTGATGTAGGACTGACTGATCAGTCTACACACTGTATTAGCACACATGCAGGCAGAACACACACAACTTTTGACTGTTACAAGCTAGTATAATTTGGGACAAATTCTGAAGCTCTGATGAATTCCATATAGAGATTAACCAGTCAGTGTTAAAATAAAAAAACTACGTGTGAGATAGTGGTGCATGCTAACACTAGTTTTGTAAGTAAAGAAATTTGTTAGTTGCTGGTACTGTTAGCAGTGGCTAACTAAAAGTCTGCCCTGTTTATGGCTAAATGGTAAGAAAGAAAATATCTTTGAAAGCAGAAGTTGAGAGGGAATTCTTTCAAACATTGGGGTCTTTTGCTGTGCAAGCAAAGATGCAATTTAAAAGTGATTAATGTTAATTTTGCAAATGTGAGTTTTTCTAGGCAAGTGCAAAACTTGGTTGTCAAAAGGCAGCTCTTTCTTTGTTCATTATTATTATTATTATTACTCAAAAAAAAAGGTCAAAAAAGAATATTAACTCTGTATTTTTTCCTGTAACAGATTTTGATGGGTGGCCCTAATCTGGTTTGTTTTAGAGATCTACCACCCACAGTGTTGTGCAAGATTGAATATCTGCTGCTTTTTGGTCCATGAGGCAACAGTTTTCATTGGCGGGGGTGGGAGTGGAAAGAAACTCATCAATTCCAGGATCTGTGAGCAGATTTTTATTGCATGTGTTTCACAGGCGTATCCCTCCCCCACTTGTACCCTTGTCACTGTCACTCACAGCCTCAACTAAGAGTTTACGTACAACAGCTGCTAAAAGTTGCCAATGAGAAAAGTAATTTATCATTAGGTTTTATCAACAGTTTCAGGTAAAACTTAAGAGAAAAGAACAGCAATCATGGTATACATTGTCCCGAAAATAAGGCAACATAAGCATTGACAAGAGCCCATGGACTGAGTTCATGCTTAAACAGGTATACGTCAGGACCTGATGGAGTTATACCACTGCAAAACCAGACTGTGAAAAGGAGCAGTTCATAAGTGTTCTAAGACTGCATGCATCCTATTTAACCATGGGCAGTGCCCCAAGATCACTAACTAGCAGAGCAAAGGAACAGTTGGCTCAGCCCAAGGAGGATCTGAGTATCTCTCTCTGTCTACACTATTAGGGAGGCAATGAGACTGCTGAGTTTGTACAAACTGCCCAGCCATCGAAGAATTTGGAGCCTATTTCAGCTTTGACAATGAGCCTGTGCTTCTCTTCACTTCCTTCTGCCTAGCTTCTTCAGGTTTCATGATTTTTCCCTTGCAATAATTTGACTTTTTCTTTAATATTACTGCTCCTATGTTGCAGAACTGGGAGACAAGGAGGCTCGGCAACTCATTCCACAGCATATAGCAAGTGATGCAACAGAAGAGGAGGTCTAACAAAGCATGGGCAGATGTCCTAAGTTCTCAGAAATGTTTCTCTAATACACATATCAGCAGTAGAAGAACCAGGAATGAGACTAAAATTTAATTTAAGTAATCATAGCTCACACTGTCAATATAAGAATTTAAATTTCTTAATAGATATTTAAATATAATCTAAAGTCCTGAACTGTAAAAAAAACCTACCTAAACTTGAAAAAATCCGAGTAAATGCATCCATGCTCACACAAAATAAGAGACTATTACATCTTTGCTTTACTCTAGGATGCTACTTCAGCCTGATGACTCCTTGCAGATTCTAGCACCCGTGGAAGCTGATGTGGGTTTCTATGCTTGCAATGCGTCCAATGCCCTGGGATCTGACTCTGTCTCCATTGCTGTCACTCTGGCAGGTAATGGTTCACTCTCTGTGATTGCAGGATGGTCACTGCCACTTGTGTGATTCAGCACAGAAATCGTTTGTGGGGAGCAAAGGGCTGTGGATGCTGGGTGGCCAAGGTGGTTCAACAGAGGTACACGAGTAAAAAACAGGATATGAACTCTGGAAAACCCTGAGGCATAGTTCAGCTTTCACAGACAGTTCATGAGATTTGTGGATTTCTGCAAGAGGTCAATGCTTTTTCTCACTCACTGCGTCTGACGTGCTCTCAAGACAATGCTCATCCCAATTATTCACAGCCTACTTGGGCAGCGCAGTCCAAGGCTCCCAATCCATCTGCTTCTTTTTAAACCTATCGCTGATATCTTCAAGTCTCACAGGCTGATCAAAGGACGTATTGAGATGGACATTAGGCAAGCCTGAAAAATACCAGAGCTGAAGAGTTCGCCCCTTGCAGGATAAAGCACTGTGTCATATTTGATCCATTGTGGCACAGGCACGGCTGACGCTGTTCCAATTGCCGGCAAATAGAGGTTCACAAAAAATTAACTTCTTTGTTCATATTTCTCTAGTAACGGTTGAGTTCTAAAGCAGACTAAATATCCTTCATTAGTTTAGATTTCGGTTCTAAAGAAAACTCACGCAGATAAAAGCCAAGGGAAACGGGAGGTAGTGCATGAATCTAGCTTCTTCAAGGTTCATTGGTAGGCAAAGTCAGCAGGCTCACAACCACGTCAGGACCAGTAGAAAGACAGAGCAGCAAACGTGAATGAGGAGCTGTTGAGTAAGATGAAGCTAAGAACTGTGACAAGGCAGAGAGGTCTTCGAGAAGGAGGATCTCACTTATTACAAAGGCGAAAGGAATGCTAGAATGCTTACTGATTTTTCAGACCTTTCCATTCCACTGTTCCAGAATGCGGAAGCATATGGGGCCTCCAATGTGGGGGCAGTAACCATCAGCTGCCAGTGTATCCAGGAATAGCTGTTGATGAGTTTGAGTTTTTTACACCAAACACAGAGAAAGTTTCAGGTAAGAGGAGCATAAAGAAAATCTTAGAACGTGGCAATGGCCAGCATTGAAGCTCTGACAATCAGTAAACCGACTGGAAAGAGACCTTCTCTGTCCCCTAGAAGGAGAACAGCTGAATCCCCCAAAGTGGAAAAGAAAGATCTGCATTAGAGCTCCATATTACATGCAGGCAAAACCGAAGAGAATGGTCCTTCTTATAGTACTGCAGCTCAGGAATACCCTTGCTGAATCCCAGGCAGCAGAGCAGTGGTGCTGCTGTTAAAACAGTATAGTGTTTTGTAAGGAGCAACTCCACAGTAAACCTCTTGTGTTGCACCAACAAGAAGCTGAACTTGAGGTCAAAAAATCATCAGTCAAAACTACTATTCTGTCCATATTGCTCCAGTGGTTTAAAAGCCATAGTCTTTGTGCAATGTAATTTGTGGAGACAATTTTCTGTGAAGCTATAGAAAAATGAACTGAGCATTAGGTATACACATGGCACACGAAGGCTCTCAGCTTTTTGCTTATAATTAGATATCAAGGCAGTAGTTTCACCTTTTTAGATGAATCAACTTTCACACACCCCAGACTCAAGCTGAACTCTGCTTAGGAGCTGGTGTACATTTCCATTTCACATCCAAGGCAAAGAGCTGAACATCTTATAAAACAAGGCCATAAATGTCAATATGAAATACTAAGCATTTTTTGGAACAAAGCAACAATCTTTTTGGCATGATGGAAGTACTTTCTCCAGAAAAACTGGAAATCTGAGACCATCTTTAGAGGGATCAGGAGTGAGGCTGAAGGCTTATTTCATTGAAGAGTTTTCTCATTAGTTTAACACACGCATGGAAAAAAAAAAACAGTGGAATATGCTTAGATTTTTCTCAATGATTTGCTACTCATTTATGGGTTGAACAACTAGTAGATTTTTAATCTTTTGATGAGGTTGTGGAAACTGATCAGGAAAATAAAAGGCTTATGGATAGCTGAAGAATTTTTCTTTCTTTTATTTAAGCTTTGCAACAAAGCATCAAAATTTTTGGAGATATTTCAACAATAAAATGTAACACTTTACTATTCTTAGGCATTAAAAGTGCCAAAAAAAAAATTAAAAAAAAAAAAAACACACAAAAGAAACCCCAAACTAATATAATAGGAATTCCAGATGAAAGGCATCTTTCAAAAGCCCTGGAAATATAACTGTGGGGAACAATTTATAGTTAGGGCTGAATCAAATTTTCAGGACTTTCTATGAGCTCAATGAAAGCAAATTCCTTTTCTCACATCCATCTTTTCTTCCTTGGTCACCTCCAGATTACACACAAATGAAGCCAGTGGTAGACATTAGCCTAAAACTGTAGCTTCTGGAGGCAAATGATGATATCTGAACCTGTTTTTTTACCTATTTATTTAAATGTGCAGAAGAATGTGTATATAGATATTTGGATAAAGATGAGTTTGAAAATGCAACACTGAGTCAAAAACACCCAAGTCCCATACCGTTTAAAGCGATGTTGTCATGTTCTGCCCCTCCTGCCAACATGCTACCTGCAGGGCATTTTGGGGGGAACAGGGGGATGCCTTAACTGAGCTCTGTCAGCTCTGCTGCTTCACTCTCCTCTCTCAGAGTTAAGCCCAAGTATCTCTGACCTGTTTTGCACCACGTAGGCATGCCTTTACAGTGCCTCTACAAAAGGAGTTGCAGAAGGCTCCTTGGGCCTCTCCGATGGTAGATAACTCCATAGCTAACCTCACATAGACAGGCACAACAGCAGAGGAACACCTTGACCCACTTGCTTGCTGTCACTGATGTTGGAAGCACACTGAAAAGAGTTTGAAAAGGTTGTTGCAGGCAAAGCAGGTATATGTGTTAGAGATAAACAATGCTAATGCGTAACACTGTTACTACAGGCTTCAGATAAAACAAAACAGGTTATCTGACAGAAAGGAGCTCGTTTATATCCCTCATCTTACTACATTACCCATTATGAGAAAACTTTCTGGTTATGATCTGGTCTTCCCAAACCCAATGTTTCCACTGTAGGTTCAAGAAAATACGATCAATGTGTAGAAGCAGCTTGCACGTTTCTCTAAACCTCCTGCACTGTTAATGTGCCTGTAGCCATCACTCAGGCTTCTTTTTCCTACGTTTGGCCTTTGGCAAAGGGTGGTATTTTGGTTGCAGTACCAGGCAAACATCTTGCTGCAGCTCCAATTGTGCTGGTGTTTATTGATTCAGCTGGTTCTCATGTGTATCCATATGGCTTTAATGTGATTCTGCCTCTGCTCTAAATATGCTTTTTCTTTTTCCAAGACAGCTTTTCCCATGTAATTTGGTGACACTGAAATATTATAAAGAGCAGGTGGCTTCATACTGCAGCATTTTCCCTATCCACCTGTCCTGCTTAGGTACTTCCATACATAGTGTCCCAGGCCATCTGTTCCATGCGAGCCCAGGGTGCTTGGTCTGATAAACTGTGGTGCTTTTTTTTTATGCAGGAAAGCCACTGATAAAGACAACAAGAGCTACTGTGATCAACACTGATTCACCTGCTGTCACTGTTGACATTGGAAGTACAGTGAAAACAATCCAGAGAGCAAACGTTACCATTAACTGCCAGGTCGCAGGTGAGAAATTACTTGGTCTTCCATACAGGTGTCGTTGGCTATAAATTTCTGTGGGGTTCTTTGCTAAATTCGTGTCTCCAGGTGCAGCTGGGTGAAACTGCAAGGTTTTCCTTGGACTCACGGAAGATTTCATTGCTTCTATTGATTCTTAGCATAGAAATTGTCCTCCTTTTATCAAAACAAACTGGAAAAGTGCAGTGACTTAATGTCGTGGTTTTAGGCTGATCCAGCAACTAAAACTGTTCACACAGTCTCTCCTTCTCCAGTAAAGTAGAGAGGAGAGAAAAAAAAAAACCAAAGGGACTGAGGGTTGAGACAAGAACAGAGGGAGCACCCACCAACCATGGTCCTGGGCAAAAAAGGCAGAGCTTTTCTCAAAGCAAAACAGTTTATTAATGATTACTTAGAAGGACAAAGGGAAACAAAAACCGATTACTTGAGATGACAGAAAGAAACAAAACCAGATCTTAAAACCGACACCTTCCCCCCGCCCCCTCCTTTTCCTCCCGGCTCTACCTCCTCCCCCCAGCAGCACAGGGGGCAGGGACTGGGGGAGTGCAGGTCAGTTCATTCCGTGCTGTTACTGCTGCTTCTTTCTTAAAGGAGAAGGAGTCCTTACACCCTTTTCCCCTGCTCCAATGGATCCCCTACCCACGAGGAAAAATCCACAAACTTCTCCAGCGTGAGTCCAGCCCACTCAAAACAATCCTTCCCCACAGATTGCTCCGGTGTTTACCACAGTCTCGGGTACTTAGGGAGCTGTAGCCACTCGCTCCGGCGTGGGTCGTCGCGCAGACTCCAGATGCCTCTCTGCCTTGTCGCGCGTCCCAACA